AACAGATGCCCCAAAGGGAAGGACAGCATAGCAGAGAGCCCTAAGCCTGCAGCCGCCAACCCGCATCTGTCCCCGGCACAGGCTCCACTCCAACCATGCCGCCTATGGGGGAGGGGAGCGTGGCTCCACGCTCTGCTCGGTCTGAAACAACTGCTGCCTCCTATGGGCAGCAGCCAGGGCTCAGGTGCTGCTGGAGAGGCAGGGGGCTGCAAACCCGGGTCCCTGACACAGCTGGGGCCCCCCTCTGGCAGGGCTGGGTGGGGCAGAGAATTGTGGGTAGGGAGTGAGGAGCACTGGCAGAGCCAGTGGGCTGTGGCTTGGGAGTCAGGGGCAAAATCATGGGCACGGCACCAGAATATCAGGGCTGCTCGGCACCACAAAAACAGTGGTGGGGGGGGACAGCTGCTGCTGGACCTGCATCTTGGTGAGCTAAGGGTTTGGAGGGGCTCTGATTTTCCATGGTAAAAAGCCCAAAATTGAATGCCAAAATTGATATTTAGAATTTATTTTATTATAGTGATTGAGGCACTGGTAGGCTTCCAAATTGCTTTAATATTGTAAATATATCAATAAAACACCATGTTCAACTGATGCCTATATATATAAGTGGCATTTCATTTTAATTGTGGAAAAATGTGGATTTTGAGGGTTTAATGAGAGAATTTGCAATTTTTAAACAGAGAAAACCAGGACCTCTGCTCATAAGGCAACGGGTGCCCTGAGGCACTACTAGGACCAGGAGAGCCACAACTCAGAGACTAAGGGGCAAGACTAGGATCAGCTAGGTATGAGAGTATCAGCTTGCTAAAGTGAATCACAGCCACCCCAGGATGTGGTCCTGATACAGGGGAAAACAGCCTTCTGAGAATCAGAGCATGCTATATGTCCAAAAAAGGCCTTTATGTGGAAGTGTCTAGCTTCAGATGCCCATAGCCAGATTTTCAGAGATGCCAATTCCTACAACAATCCCTGCCCATCCCTACAGCTTTCCAGACCAGGCTCTATATCATCTAAAATGAGAAAATGCCATTTTTGAAAACATGAGCCTAACTGATGTTTTCACAAACCCTGAGTATCATGCTCTTAATCCCATCATACAGATAGGACAGAGGTAAGTAGATGCAAAGAGGTAAATTCACTTGCTCAAAGCAATAAAGAAACAAGAAGAGCTTGTAATAGAACTAAGGGGCTGCTGACTCCCAAGCACATTCCACTAGACCAGGGTACCCCTCATCATAAAAATGGAGAGTACAAAAGCCAATATCTGAGTCTTGTCCCAAACAACTGATGCTTCACTGAAAAGACAATCGTGACCTTGAAAGAAATAAAAGATGCCAAGCCACAAGCATGATTCTACAGTGTTCATGGCTTAATGTCACTGAGACATTTGTGCGTGGGTCAGGAATGGATGCAAGCTGCCCACCTGCTGCATGGAGTACAATGCTGAGAGAAGTGGTATCATGATACAACACAAAAGGGTTGCTATATGGATGAAATCCTTCCCAAAAGAGCGAACTCCTCCTGGCAAAGACAGACTTGGTCAACAGTGGCCTCATTTTTAATGAGCATAGCTAAAGAAATCACAGTTTGGAGAGCCTCTGTAACACTAATAATTGTAATATAGAATAGCAGGGAGAAGCAAATGTGTAACACTTGCCTCTCCCCTGCCATACCATACTACAATAACGGAGGCATTATCCAGCATGAACACAGGAGGCTGAGGAATCAGTAGAAGGCAATAAGAGGACAGTGATGATTTGTCAAGGACAGTGCAATGGTAGCAAATCCCTGAGCTCCTTCTCTTTTCTGGTTTCCATTTCCAAGGAGTCAGCTCCCACATGGTCTCAATGTGACTCACAGATAATGGCATGGTATGCTTCAAAAGAAAATTGCAGTAAAAAGCGAGATCTTTGTCCTTTGGTAGCCACCTGGGCTTCCACCACAGCTGTTTCTGCTGACATATCATGTCTATTTGTAAAAATAAATTAAACCAAATTTGAGATGCACTCAGAAAGTCAGAGTTGCATAACAGTTTGTTTCCCATGGGCATGGAAAGCTGCTGAAAATGTTTATAGTCACATGTTTCAGGTGTTTATAGTCACACGTTGATTGAGAAATTATTTGCCATTTTCCTATCTTATTTTCTGTCAGATAAGTTAACCCTACATTGGCTGACACCTACAGTAGTCTGTGATAGCTGTGGCACCTGCAGACAAGAGCAGAAGTGTTGCTCACTTCAGCCAGTGCTCCATACACATAGCTTGATCAGAGGCTTTTACAACCAAAGCCATACCACCCTTCAAGAAACTGCTGTGTTCGGTCAGGGTCCCAATGCCTAGCCTAAATCAATAGTTACCAGAACAGAAGGGGAGAGAGATGTAGAGATGGGAATATAGACAACAAAGATTCAGAAAAATAGAGAGAATGGGTGAGATTGCCAAAGATTTGATACTAAATGGGAAATACAGTGATATTGGAATGGAAAAATTAAGTCAAAATAAGAATGGAATTAAAAAGAGAAGTACTAAGTTGTATGAGGAGAAATAAATTATTACATATTCCATAAACTATGAACAGGAGATTTAAGTAATGTCTACCCAGCAAACTTAACGTGCTTGGCAGCAGTACCCTTAAACAGGCCTTAGGCAATGTAGCTGTATTTACATGGCCCTTTAGGTGGGCTAATTAGGAGGTCTGTGCGAAGCGGCTAGTATTTGCTTTGGATTCTCAGAATCTGCCAGGCCAGGCCCATCCACCACCCCTCTCCCAGCCCGGCAGTGGCTGCCCCAGCTCCTGGCACTTGTTAAAAAAGTCCAGACTCAGCGGGTGCCGCTGGGTGGGAGACGATCGCTGCTACCCCCCCACTGCCCCACGCTGCATGGGAGGCTCTGCACAAGCCCCCCAAGCCCCCCCTTGCTCTCCCAGCCCCCCACAGGTGTCCCACCCTTTAAGAAAAAAAACCTGAAAAAACCCCAGGACTCACCGCTCCTGTCTGCACACAGAGATCCCTGTACAAGCCCCTGAAGCACTGACAGGTGAGTCCCAGGGCTTTTTTTTGTTTTTTTTTCTTAAAGAGCCAGAGTGCCTGGCCTGGGTGGAGCACCCATGGGAGGGACTGGGGAAGGGGTTCGGGGGGCTCATGAAGAGCCCCCCCATGCAGCATGGGGCAGTGGGGGACAGCAGGGATCATCCCCCACCTGGCAGCACCCAGTAAGCACTGAGGCTTTTTTTTAAAGTATGGAGAGCTGGGGCTGGCAGGGGCAGACATGGGGGGGCTGGAAGAGCAGGGTGGTCATGGGGGCTGGCAGGGGGCCCCCCATAGTCCCCTCCCCCACCCCTAGTACTTGCCAGTTGGGAGCCGGGGACTGCCCGAATCAAAGCTCTCCAAATCTTTTCCGAACATTCAGAGAGCTTTGAATCAATTTGGACCTTTAAATTGGTCCCCTGATTTGATTCGGATTCAGAGATTTGGCTGCTGAATTGGGCCGAATCTCCTCGGAATCGAATCACCACCTGAAGCTTCACACAGCACAGCAAGTTACATTTCTAGAAGTAGCTTAATCACTTGGAAAAATAAGCTTCATTGACTCTGAGAGACTTCAAGGCCCAAATCCTTAAAGCTATTCAGGTACATAACCCTCAAGCTTGACTCCCACTGAGGGTCTGAGCCAAAGGCTTTAAGTTGCCTTTGAGATTATACAGTAGATACTTTTTCATAGTTCCCTTGTTGCTAGAGCAGGGGGTTGGGCCACCCCCCATTCTAGATTCTGCCCATTTGGCTGTGGGACCTTGGTAAAATTAAGGTGCTCCAGTCCACTTTATGTAATATACTTTACTACAACCTCTGATTTAACAGTCAGCTCTCACTTACATCAGTGAAAATCTGTTTCAGGAGGGGCTCTACTCCAGACATACAAAGGAACTGAAAACCTGACCCCTTCTGTAAGAAAAAATGAGTTCCATATATTTTAATAAAAAAAGATAATTGGATTTACTCAAAAGAGAATGAAAAGAGTTTTTCATTACCCAGCAAAGTGAGAAGACATTGTATCAGACAGTGTAAATATAGAGAATTACAGCTTCAGTTAATTTGCATGCCTGGGTTTTTGTTCACATAGCTAGATTAGGTTTACAAAGACATGCAAAACTTGCTTTTAAAGGTACATATATTAAAAATAACAAATGTATTCCAATGTGTCATGCTTATGGAAGGGCTTAGGCATGATCCTGGAGGGCAAATTCAGACCTGGTGTAAGTCAAAACTATACAGATAGAACTGTATGGGGATATACCTCTATGATTACCCCTGGCCTGAATTTGGGCCTGTATCCCCAAAAGACCTCTTGACCTTGGACTGATCATGTGATCAGCAGTGGCCACAATAACAAGTTATTAATCTTGAAATACCACATACTCAGGATGAGCCCAAATCAGCACCTCTCTGAACAATGCAAGCTGCTAATGTTTCTCATACAGGCGCATGTAATAAATAGCTACCATATACTGACACCTGCTTATGAAAGGACAGTTAAATATATTAGCACTGAATGGTCAAGTACTGCTACTTAGCTTTTTCAGTCATAGACTTCAAAGGACTTAACCAAGAAAGCAAAACAAAAAAAGAATTAGTATCATTATCCCTATTTTATAGATGAAGAAATGGAGCTGGAGAATGTAAGTGACTTGCCCAAGGTCATACGACTATTTAGCAGCAGAGCAAGAACAGAATCTGATTCTACTGTCTCCCAGGCTGGACCACTCCACTGTCTGCTGGAGAACACAGACTAGTAAAAATCAGATTGTGGGTGTAACAGAGTGGTTTTGATGGAAGCAAATTTTTATTGCCTGTTGGGACTCTCCACTCAGCAATAACATTGCATTTTGCTCTTCATTTCTAGCTGGAAACATTGCAAAGCTGACTCTCTCAGTGACTGAACAATATGCATTTGTCTACTGAGTGACACAGAGTGTACAGGGTAGGATACTTAGTCTGCACTCACCACTGGCTCAATAGTAAAGATGTTATCAGAGAAGAGCATAGAATCTCCTTGCACCATTCTTCTGTGGTCCTGGAAACTGTGGGAGAGAATGGAAAGGCGTTCTCGGAGAGTAGGATCTGCATTGCATTCCTTTAGAAATCGATCAGTCTCATCGTCTTCCTGGGTCTGCTGTCTGTAACAGAGCCTAAAGCCAAAGGGAGAGACAAAGGAAGCAGATAATTTAATGAGCAACATTTTTTTTCAAAGAACATCACCAATGTGCTGGGGCAGCGACACTCACAGTTCAGTGTTACAGGAAGCAACCTACCACATGGCTGAGGGCATAACTGAATCAATAGGTTTTCTAATGGATTAGGAATGAAATTGCTGTTTCATTTTGTAAGGTAGGTTATTTTGCTCTGTGCACGCTTGGTGGAAGAGGTACTTTTCCCTCTTCACCCTTCCTCTGTATTTCAGCATACTGAAGGATAAAGCATTTTTGAAAGTCAAGAGCCATGAATAGGAAAGGGAAAGTTGATGGGCCCATGCATAGGAATTACAGTAAAAAATGCCATGCTATGTCCTGCAGCCTTTTTCATATCTCATGGCACTGTTCAAAATCCACCTACCCCTCAAATCAGCTGTTGCTTCTCACGGTAGTGATAGGAAGAGCTGCATGTGGCATCCAAACAAGACTGTCCTTCTTCATTGTACTGTGCTCATACTATGAAAATGGTCACTGAGGGCGTGTCCTGATGATCGCGCACGTGCAGAGGTACACATTTTTCATGGAACAAACAGCAGTGGCACATATTTGTCCCCAAGCATGCCCCTGCACATGTGATCCAGCACGTGCCTGGCCAGCAGTCAGAGTATGGCTCTAGCCAGCCAGGCTCCATTTCTGGCAGTGCATGCTGCTGCAGCATGCACCATATGCTGCTTTTTTTAGCAGCAGGTTTTGGGTTTTTTACACCAGGCTCTTCCAATGTCAAGAAGAACTGCTGTGCTGCTAATTAGCAGCACGGTGAATGGGTGCATGTGTGCTGGACGCACGTTGCGGTGCTGCAAACTGCACGTGCATGCTTGTTGGGACATGTGCCCTGAGAGGGTCAGTATCTGTTATGATCATCAGAGAGGGTGCTATTTGAATACGACTGTGGGTGGATTTTCAAAAACATCTCAGGAGCACCAGTCACGGTGATTTCCCCATACCTCTTTGAGCTCCTAGCCTCCAAAATCAAGACAGAAACAAACAGACAATGGAAGAAAGGTTGAGTCATTAAGGCAGTATAATAAGGAACAGCAAGAATATCTAAGGATAAAAATTAGGAAAGTAAAGGTAAAAGGGGGTACAATTGACAAGGAATGTTAAAGACAACTGGAAAGGATTCTACAGGCAGAAAAGAAAGATGAGGTTAATTGTGGGTCGACTGCTCAATGATATGGTGAAGCTATTCATAGAACTGTAAAAAAGGTACAGCTACTCAATGACTACTTTGCTGCAATTTTCACAAAAAAATAAACTGTGCCCAGACAACTTCCAAAATTAATATAAACAAAGAAGGGAAGGGCTGTAGATCAAGATAAGTAGAAAGTGAAGTAGAGAGCTTTTGACAAATTTGAGTGACTAAGTCAGCCACGTCTGATAAAATTCTTCCCTGGATGCTGAAGAAAGTAGATGAAGAAATCTCAGAGCCATTGTTAATAATATTTGCAGAGTCATGGATGACTGGCACGATCCCAAATGACTGAAGAAGGGCTAAAACAGTGCCTGTTTTTAAAAAAGGGAAAAAGGAGGACCCAGGAAATTATCAGTCAGCCTGACTTCAAAACTTCATAAGCTATTGGAGCAAATTATAGAAAAGTCAATTTGTAAAGATTTGGAGGAGGAAAAGGGATCATAACAGCCAAAATGAATTTGTTAAGAACAAATCATACCAACCAACTTGATTTCCTTCTTTGACAGGGTAACTAGTTTGCTGAAAGAGAGAAATGCAGTGGACATAATATACCTGCTGGACTCTAGTAAAACTTTTGACACAATCCCATGTGACATTCTCACAAGTAAACTGGAGAAATGTGGCCCAGACAGAATTACTGCTAGATGAATACATAACTGGTTGAATAACTGCAAGCAAAGAGTAACTATACATTGATCAATGTCGGGAAAGGCAAGAGGTCTCAAGTGAGGTTTCACAGGGGTCTGTTCTGAGTCCAGCACTGTTTAACATTTTTATTAATGGTTTGGATGAAGGAACAGACAGCTCACTGATCATGGTTGGTGTGATAAACAACACTGGAAGAGGATGCAGACTCTTTGGAGGACAGAATTAGAATTTAAGAAGATCTTGATAAATTGGAGACCTGAGCTACAGACAACAAAATTAAATTCAGTAAAGACAAATGTAAGGTGCTACACCTAGAAAAGAAACACCAAATGCACAACTATAGAATGCTGGCTAGGCAGTAGTACTGCTGAGAAGGATTGGGAGATTGTGGTGGATCAGGATCTCAGTGTGAGTCAGCAATATGATGCCATCACACAAAAAAATGCATGTTGGGGCTATATTCAAAGAAGAATAGTATGCCAAACACAGGAAGTGATAGTACCTCTCTACTCAATATTTGGTTAGGCCTCAACTGGAGTATCGTGTCCTTTTCTGAAATCTGCATTTAGAAGGATGCAGAGAATCTAGAGAAGAGCCACAAACGAGTGGCAAAATTCAGGAGTGGAGGAGAGGGGGGAAATTAAAGCCAGGTGAAGAAAGGTTGAGATGTATATTTGGTTCAGAGAAAGAGATCAAGAGAGGGGGACAAATTGTAGAAGTTTCCAGATATCTGAAAGGCAGCCATAAAGAAGAGGGAGAACAACTGTTTTCCCTTCTCAGAGGGCAGAAAACAAGGCATTGAGTTTAAACTATAGCTAAAGAGATTTAATCTCAAGGAAAAAACCTGCCTAACTGTAAAAGCAGAAAGACAATGGAAGAAATTACCTAGGAAAAATTCACTGGACATTTTCAACAGGGCATTGGTTAGGCACGTATGTGGGGTAGTTTAGGGAAAGTGCAGCCTGCATTTCATAGTTTCATAGTTGGTAGGGTCAGAAGGGACCTGAGCAGATCATCAACTCCGATCCCCTGCCATGGCAGGAAAGAGTACTGGGATTTGATTATCTGCTCGGGTCCCTTCTGACCCTACAAACTATGAAATGCAGGCTGCACTTTCCCTAAACTACCCCAGATATATGCCTAACCAATGCCCTGTTGAAAATGTCCAGTGAATTTTTCCTAGGTAGTTTCTTCCATTGTCTTTCTGCTTTTACAGTTAGGCAGGTTTTTTCCTTGAGATTAAATCTCTTTAGCTATAGTTTAAACTCAATGCCTTGTTTTCTGCCCTCTGAGAAGGGAAAACAGTTGTTCTCCCTCTTCTTTATGGCCGCCTTTCAGATATCTGGAAACATTTATAATTTGTCCCCTCTCAATCTCTTTCTCCAGCATTTGTGAAGGGGGCTGGATTATATGGTCTTTTATGTCCCTTTCCACCTTTTGATTCTGTTATTCTATTTGCTAATCTTCAGACTCCTTCACAAACACTGCTTCTTCCACATGGCACTAAGCTGACTTGACAGAGTCAAAGCCATATGGTCATTAGTGGAATGGACTGGATCTTTGTCCTTGCAGACAGATGAGCCTAGTGAAATGGTTTCACAAGGAGCCCTGAATTTCCTTGAACTAGTCCTGGACCCATACCTGTCAAATTCTTGATTCTGAGTTTTCAGTTGGCTGATCTTGGTACATGCTTGGCCACCACTGCACTGTAGAAACCACAGTGCAGTATCCCACAGATCATGTGTTTTGTGAATGAATGAGGGTAGTTTATAGACAGCAGTTCAGGCCATCCACTAATAGGGTGTGGATAAAGAGTTTAATCTTTTTGGGATACCACATTCAATTTTCAGTATGTCAGATCACAGCAAAAATAGGAGACCTATGCTGTCAGGGTGTGCATTAGTGTGTACATTAGTGGGTGATGCCACAGCTGTTTGCCCCACACTTGTGATCATCCACTGGGGATGGAAGAAATGAAAAAAATTAGACTGAAATCTTAAAATGGAAATTGGCACAAGATCAAATACATAAATTTGCCTGGATTTGGCTAAAGGGAAAGTCCCCTATTACTAGCAGAGACTTTTTAGGGGCTTTGCTGGAGATGCAGAAATATGAAGAAGAGCAGAAGAAAGCAGGGAGAAAATTCCAGTGGAAGGTCACTAGATTTTTCTTTTCAACACTGGGTTTGTACAGTAGTCATATACGTTGTAATTAAAAACAGAGAGCAGTAGAAAACTAGTTATGCCCTTCACGGCATTGGTGACCCAATTATGTTGAGCTTTATTTGCTCAGAAACCGTTAAAACTAGCTCCAGTCTAAGGCAGTTTTTCCTGATCATGTGTGAGTTAAAAGTGTGGCCTTTGGACACTTGCTTCCTTCTGAGCACGAAAAACTAGAGGACCAATCCCCAAATCCTCTAATTTGTAAATGTAGATTCCCAATTCCCCTCCCAAGTTGCTAAGAGCAAGCATGCATGTGTGACCTGAAAATGGATGTGGAATGACAGCTATCTGGGCACTTTTACATGTGCTTCGGAGGTTGGGAGGGGCGTCGGGGGGGTGCGCTTAAATAAGAGCAGCTCCGAGAGCCAGTCTAATTAAAGTGCCACAGCATCTCATGCATCAGTGTCCCCACACTTAAAAATGGCGGCAGGGGCACTTGAACCAAAGCTCATTCAATGAGCTTTAGTTTAAACACCCCCCCACACCATTTTTAAGTATGTGGATGCTGATACATGAGATGCAAGGGGCTGCTGGAGCATGGTAATTACCACACTCCAGCAGACCTGATAGCCTAGTGGCTTGGGCACTTGCCCAGGAAGCAGGAAATAGAGCTGTCAGAAGACAGGGCAGCAGAAAGACTGACTCAAAGTCTGCTTCGACGTGCTGTAATTACAGCATATTTGAGCAGCCTTCGCGCTTCTGTACAGGCACCAGTAGACTGAAGGAACTGTTTCCTGCCTTTTCATTTTATCCAGAATGAGGGCTTTGGTCTGTATTCCCCTGTGCAGTACTGTCCCCTCACATTCACCTTGGTCCAGAGAAATTATTCCTGGTCATTTGTCTCTGCAGTCTTTCTCTGTCTCTATCTGCACTTT